TCAGGGGTGTTAGAGCTTGGAGGAAAATGGCATGGTACAGCCTTGATTCTAGGAAGAATTGGAAGAAACTTTGTCATAGCTCACCGCCGTAGTTTGCTGAGATGTGCCCCTGAACAGTTGCGTCATGCCTCGTCCGAGGAGAAATCAGTAGCAGAATTCCCCGAAAGCGAATTGTTGGGTATCAAGAACTTGATGGAGAAAGGACAGTTTCCCAAAAGCCAGTTCACAGATATCGTAGGTCAGTCAATGCCACCAGAGCCGGAACAGCTGGAACAGCCCATCCGACAGCCAGTAGAGTCAGTTCCAGCAGGAGCCCAGTCTGCCGCCGAGATGTTTCAACAACAGCAGACGATCGTCTCTGAACCATTGCCGCCTGCTCCAAACAGTGGACCTTCGGCATCCGCCGAGGGGGAAGGTGATCCTGCTCCTGAGGTAGCCGGTAGTTCTTCATACGGCCCTGTACGTAGAAGGTACTCTTCAAAGCAAGCTCAGGATGTGTTGTTTAGACCCCCTGAAATGAAACATGAGGATTTCCTTGAGATGATGCAGGAGATCGTTCCTCAGATTGTAGTGCCGGAAGCCGCAGTGGCCTCGCCTGACCAAGTGATGCAATCTGCCAGCCCAAGAGGAACCAGCCAAAAACGAGAAGCCAGCACCGAAGGTGATGTTCCTGCTTCCTCTAGGCCTAGAATTGAACACGAGGCATCTGAAGGTTTGTTTTCCGAAGAGGTTCTCATGGCATGTTCTGAGGGCATTCCTACTGCAGAAGTTTTGACGTCAGCCTTTTTGCAGAAGCGTCTCCAGAAGGAATGGCCTCCTTCTGGCAATTCACCAGAACTTCAATCCAAGATTGATGAAGCCAAGCGCACCGAGTGGTCAACCCTGAGTGACAAACCAGCCATCAAGGTGTGGACTGGAGCAAAGGCCAAGATGTTGCGTGACAAGTATCCAGAGAGATTCATAGGCAGCCGTTTTGTCATCACTGAGAAAACTGAGGATCAAGACACCAGAATCAAAGCTAGGTGGTGCCTTCAGGGACACCTAGACCCTGATTTCAAGGAAAAGATTGACAATGGCCTCTGTCACAGTCCAACACTTAGTCAGCTGGCTCGAGCGTTAGTACTTCAGGTGTTGAGCTCCAAAAAGTGGACCATGTGCCTGGGTGACATCAAAGGTGCCTTCCTGCAGGCCGGACCTCTGCAGGCCAAGTACAGACCGTTGTTTGCACGTCACCCAGCCGGTGGCATTCCTGGTCTTGACGACAATGATGTCATCGAAGTTGTGGGAAACGTGTATGGTGCTAACGATGCCCCCTTGAACTGGTATCAAACCTTCCACCAAGCAGTTACTGAGATCGGATACGAACGAAGTCAGTTTGATAACTGTTTGTACTTCCTGAGGGACAAGAATAACAACAATGAGCTATGTTCCATTTTGGGAGCACATGTGGATGATACCATCATAGGAGGCCACGGTCCAATTCATGAGAAAGCTGTTGCCCTGCTCCGCAGTAGGTTCACTTACCGAAAATGGAGGATTGGCCACGGAGAATTTTGTGGAGTGCATTACTCCCAAGATCCTTCCACTTTTGAGATTGTTTACAACCAAAGTGAGTATGCCAGGCACCTGAGGCCAATCAACCTGTCTCGCGACCGAGCACGTCAGAAACAGTCACCAGCGAACAAGAAAGAGATAGCATCCTTGCGTGCTATCAATGGAGCAGCAAATTGGTTGGCAAGTCAGAGCAGACCTGACCTCAGTGTTCAGACCTCCATAAGTCAACAGTGTTTTCCCAAGCCGTTGGTTCAGGATTTGGTTTATGCCAATCAACTTGTGCATAGGGCCAAGCAATACAGCCATGTTTCGGTGACCGTGCGTAGCATCCCATGGAGCCAACTGGGAATATGTTTTCACTCTGATGCAGGTTTTGCAAATGCAAAAGGTAATGCCACTCAAGCGGGGTATATTCTTGGTTTTGTTGATGCAAATCTTGAATCTAATCTCCCTAGCAAATGGTCCCCTTTCTGTTGGAAGTCATACAAGCTGCCCAGAGTTGTTTCATCGACACTAGGCGCGGAGGCTCAAAGTTTCTCCGCAGCTTGTGCCATAGCTGAATGGATGTCTCTTATGGTCGTTGAAGCCAAGAAAGGCGCTTTTGATTTGCGATCGGTTCGAGATATGCCCAAAACACCGATTGTGTCCAACCTTGCGCCAAAGGATGAGGTTATCACCGGAATCACAGACTGCAAATCACTGTACGATCATTTGACGTCCATGTCCAGTGTTTCTAAGGTTGAAGACAAACGGGTGGCAATTGACCTAGCTATCCTGAAGCAGTGCATGACCCGCACTGGCCTTTCAGTGCGATGGTGTCCGACTGAATTGATGGTGGCAGACGGATTGACAAAAGATCAGATGGATCCAGCAGACCTTTTGCGTGCTGCCTTGGAAGTGGGTGAATACCAGTTGAACCAAGAAGCAACAGTTTTGGCAATTAAGAAACAGCAGCGAGAAGAACGGAAGAAACGACAAACTCAAGCCAATAAGACCGCAGAGCCAAATAATTAAATAGGACTGAATGTGGGAGTAGATAATCACTGCGGGGATAAGTGGGGATAAACGTATTATGTATGGGTATAATCGTCACAACATTCCTGCCTTGTGTACATTGCCAGACAGTGTAGCAGTGCCTCCTTCATGTTCATACCTGCCTTGCATGTTGTGACACCACGTAGCTCCTTGTTCATACCCCTCAAAGTGTGGAAGCCTCAATTAAGAGGAACGCCTGGTGAACCAGTTTTAGGGACGGTTTAGAAGCCTTGCGAAGTGACCATGTCCATGTCCAAGAGCGCTGCGTCTGATCAAGTGAAGACTCAGGCCTTGGAATTCCTTCGTGACCTGCAGCGCAGTGGAATGCTGGAAAGTATGGTTTCCTCAGTTCAACAGGAAGCCGCACAGATGCCGATTGGAGCCATGACAGACGGCGCCAAACGCCGTTGCCCTGAGAGCCCCAACATCTACGAGGAGGAAGAATTTCAACATGTGGCATCATCCGAAGAGATGCCTCCTTCAGTTCCCGGTTCTGAGCTGCACCCATCTGTGTTCCACATGGAGACCAACAAGAGCGGCTACTCTTCCAAGGTCTCTTTGCCGGTTGGGGTAGATTCACTGGAAGAATGGGGCCGCACCATTTGCGAGTTGCCCAAGGTCAAGGAGATGTCTTGCAGCTATCATGAGTTGACCCTTCAGGCTGAGAAGGGAGACATCCAGATGTCCAAGTATCTCTCCTGGATCCGCACTTACAAGGGCCCCTCTTCTCGAACTGTGGACTTCAAGAATTATCTTCTGGCATATGACTCTTGCGCATCTGAATCGAAGACCTATTTTCCTGGCACCATGGAAGTTCGACGCTTGAAGTAGGAAGTACTCAAGCAAGAGCCTGTGCAACCTGGAGGGAAGCACTTTTTGGGCTTGAAATATAACATAGAAATTTAGAGGAGTGTGATTTCATGGACAATCCACAAGGGCTTGTGCATGCCGCAGCGGACCTTTGCGGCTGGAGCGCCCGCATATCAGGAAAAGTGCCGCTGTTGCTGCCCCAGGTGGGGCGACGCTACTTTGTCATATATATATTATATATTATATATATATTATATATTATATATATATGTATACTATTCCTATGGTTTATAAACCAACAAACATCACTGGGGGGGGGGCACCACTTTGCATGAAATATGACATTTACGTGATGTTTTGTAACAAAAATCTTGATTCGTTAGGATCTCACCGAAATAATGTTCAAACTCGCACACCAAGTTGAATCATTGGACTGGTTGCAGAAAAAACTACATGGCTTTCCATGGTTTTCCACTAAATGAGTGCGGTTCCTGTAATACGTGTCCCTTCCTCCAATTCTGGGATGAGAACTTGCCATTTATGGCGCTTCGCTGGATCAAGTTTGGAAAATGTGGTTGGGATCAGAAAATGGAAATCAGAATCAATTAGTTTACAAGGTGGTGCCCCAGTTCGTTAGCTAAGTTGGTGCGTTTATAACTCCAATTAATCTAGGGTTGATGAATGGGGGTTATATCTATAGTTAATGGGGATTATGAACCAACTTATAACTGGGGGGGTTACCACCTTGTAGAGAAGAAACAACAAACGCAGGTTGTGATTTCACCTACGGCTGAATGTCCAATGACAACCCGTAGGGGTCACTAAAACCCACTGGTGTTGAAAATGATTACCCTCTGGTAAACGTTAACAAAAAACTATGGAATATCACCATTTTTAATGGGAAAATCCACTATTTACATGGCCATTTTTAATAGCTATTTTGACATAACCAGGTTGGGTAGACAAAACAATCAACCCCAGTCAGTTCCGCTTGTTCATCAAGATTTAGCGTCAAGAAATGGAGGTTTCCATAGTCATGGGGAAACACCCCCAGTCATGATCCATTTTCCATGGTGATTTTCCATTACAAACCATCCAGGTATTGGGGCCAACCCCCATTTCAGGAAACCTCCAAAAAAAGTGTGCGGCTAATTTTGCCCATCTCTTGTTGCACTAAACTATATCCCATAGGATCCATGTATGGTATATATGCTAACATTGGGGGTATATTGATGGTAAATGTTACCATATATAGCATACATGGATCCTATGGGTATGGGCAAATCATTTGAATGCCCGTCCAAACAATGGTGTAACACCTCGTGTGACCCACCAGCTTCCCGATTTCGGGTCGTGTCATCAACTGGTGGGAAAATCCCCAATGTTGATCGTATACATCCCACTGTGTCCTATGATATCCCTCTTGGAATCGGGAGTTTTGTTGGTAAAAGTATACCCCCTTCTAGAATTCCATACAAGTGGCACTTGAAGTAGTTTAAAACATGTTAAAACCGAATTTTTCCAATTTGTCCCTATCAAAACCGCCTTTTCCCCATCTCTTTTCCATGGCCACGACTTTCGTTCTCCATTTTCCATGGCTCCTGGGTGTGACCAAGACCGTCTGGAAGGAAGTGGTGGTCGTGGTCGAAGTGGTCACGGTGAAGGAGGTGTGGGTCCTGATGGTCGGGGTCACTGGGCTGTACAAGCCATGATACTTTTGGTGCAGATCCAATCGGATCGGGATATGATAGGAATATCATCGGAATATGATGGAATATATCTAAGACTCACTAGTATTTCATGCTCTGACTCTAACTGCTCTAACCAACAAAAGATTGGGATTTTGCTGGTATAGATCTCGATAGATGGGGTTTAACTGATGACTGGGGAAGACATGTGGCATAAACATCTTTGGACAAACCCCTGCAGCCATGACTACCATGTTTTGCTTCCCACCTTGGATCTCAGCAGAGTTATCATGAAAATTAGGTCCTCTGAGTTAATTTTTGTGGCCATGGGTCAGACAACGTGACTATGCTGGAATCGAGGGATGCTCAGCGGTTCATCCTACTTATAAAGTACTTGATGGTGCATTTGGTGTTAGCGATGAAGACCCCGCCCCCAATCGAGTCCACTTAGGTTGCATACCCCGAAGAATCACATGATACGACAGTGGGGTAAGTGGGCTGATCGTCCACTTAGTATAGTCAACAGTAAAGCCTGCTGTGGTGTTACCCGGCCTGGTACTTTGTTACAGTTCGCTATTGAAAATGACTAAATTTAGTTCGTGGATTTACCCATTGATAGCATGGTGGATCTTTCCATGGTTTTTTGTTAACGTTTACCAGAGGGTAATACCAGCCAAATGGTAAAATTAGGTCTGTCCAAAAATAGGATCGCCGCTGATCGCCCGAGTTCAATGGATACATTGGCGGTAAGTCCCCATGGACGAACATCCAAAATATATCAAAATCGCCGGCGGTTTTTTCATAGCCCATTTGGGTTTGTCTGAAAATAGGGTATATTCCCAACTATAGCCATTTAATAGGGATAATGATCATTAACCATTGGGTTTAGGGGTACACTATTTTCAGACACACCCATTTATGTCCCATTCATATTCCAGTTACACTCCATTAGAACTATGTAGCGATTATCGTATTATCATCCCATTCATCTGCGTAAATGACAATAGCTCACGAACCTGAAATCTTCGGCGATTTTAGCGATCATTACCCCAATCCCATTCCCGTCATTCCACGTCCCGACGTTTTCGCTTGGGATTCAATTCATCCAAACATTTCCATATGCTTAAAGCCCCGTATTATCCTATTAAATACTCATGCAACTGACCATGGCACATATTATCATATTCTGTTGAACAATCCACCAATATCCCACTGATTTTCACGAGTATCTCATTCTATCCGCATCGATGTTCCAATAATGTGCCATGAATATCGCATTCTATCCTAATTAAATCTAATTAATGTTCCATTGAAGTCTCACTACATGTCCATTGCCAATCTTAGATGGCCTGCAAAAACATATGAAGTTTTTGCTGATTAGGAGAAACAGTTCTCCATAGAAACAGCAAGAGATTGGTTCGTACAATTTGGTACCCATCCAAGATTCACATGTGAGGATAAATCTGGTAAACATTAGAAATTAAATGTTTAGCTGCTTAGTAAGAACATATCCTACTGAAATCGCCCCAGATTAAAGGATTATTTGGTACCCTCTGGTTATTTGTTACATAGCCATGGAAGCCATGGCCCATAGAAATAGATGATGTTCCTAGCTAGAAACCTCCATTTATAATGGATTTTCCACCATTTATAGATGATTTTCCCATTATAACCGCCATTTATCATGGATTTTCCATAGGTTTTCCCATTAAAACTGCCATTTATAATGGATTTTCCATAGCTATGTTCGTCATAACCAGAGGTTAGCCATCCACTGAGTCGACCTGCCACAAAAGCCACCGAGGTGCTGCGTGGTTCGTGTGCTGGAGGTGCTGTCACACACCACCTGAGCCATTCGAGCCGTTTCACGCGTTGATCGGTGGAGGTTTTTAGGCGAGATTTGCTGTGAGGAAATGGTGGTTTAATGGTGGTTTAATGGGGTTTAACCAACAAAATGGTGATTTTAATGGGATGTACCCTCTGGTAATGACTAACAGTTTGCTATTGAAAATGGCCATAGAAATAGTGGATTTTCCCAATAAACATGGTGGATCTTTCCATAGTTATGTAAACGTTTACCAGAGGGTAATCCATACATAACCCATATATTTCATCCCATATACAAGTGATGGTATTCCAGATATCACTGGGGGTTGAACTACCCATCTACTAAGTGGGCCACCCCCAAGTGGTCAAAATCTGCCAGTTTTTCCGGTGGGGACCCTCCGGTAGGCACAAAATCATCGAACCGTTGCTGGAGTTTCCAGCAAGCCATTTTTAGCGACACCGGGAGAGTCATCCCATTTTTGGGGCTTCGAACTCTCCGATCAGCTTCTTTGGGCGGAAATCAACGCCGTTGTCTTGATAAAAACACCCTATGTTAGGGATTTTAGGGCTGAATTCCCATGCGTGTGGAACTAAACGTCCATGCTTTGTTGATGAACATCCGCCATTTTTCCCAGAAAAGAAAAGCACCCAGCAGCCTGTTGTGCTAGTCACATTCCAGCTTTATGTTTGACCGCAGATCCGATCCGCGAAGTTGCGGTTGTCGTAAAAATTCATCCAGTTCAATCCACATTCTCGGTGGTTACCCTCTGGTAATGACTAACAGTTTGCTATTGAAAATGACCATTTATAGTGGATTTACCCATGAAAAATTGTGATTTTCCATAGCTATGTAAAAGTTTACCAGAGGGTAAATCCTAATCTTGGCAGATTCCATTTCAAAAAATCTTGGGTGGAACTGCATCCTCCAATTTCGGCACATCCCCGAGCCTCTGATTTTCCAACCTTCTTGGATTTGCTCAAGGGGTCCCAAAAAAAACCTACTCCCTATCGCTGTCCCTAGTCATGGTGCATTTTCGAAAAATTTCTCCCAAAGATCCACCTCTTAAGCACAACCACTCGGGTGGAATCCGAAGGTTTTCGGCACATCAAAGCAACCCAGGCCTTGATATCCTCCGAGTGGAAGCAATTGTGTACGCCCCAGCCAGAGGAGTCGCAGAGACTCAAATGGCTCTCGGTCCCTGCGCCAACAGCTGGGCTTAGCTGGGTCTCTACGGTCACCGAGACCGCTTTCCAGGCGGTTTCGTGACTTTTTTTAGGGTTTATGGGTGATACTCCAAACTATGGCTATTTTCATCTATTTGATCATGTTACCCTCTGGTAATTTAACATAGCTATGGAAAATCACCATTTTTAATGGGAAAATCCACTATAAATGGCCATTTTCAATAGCTATGTTAGTTTACCAGAGGGTACTTTATGGGAAAAATTCACGTGGATCATATGAAAAAAGGTCCGGAAATGTGATCCTCCAAGTTGTGGCTGTGGGAAGGCTATAAATTGAATGTACTGTATGTTCATAGGAAAAATATGGAAAATAGCGGTTTTAATTGCATTTGGAGCACTCTCTTTTCAGACAAACTAATATGTTTTGTAGATTGGTGTCTAATTTTTCGATCTAGCTCCAGAACCACAAAATTCGAACCCTGACTTCTCCCCAGAATTATACCCCAGGGATTCCCTCTGATTTTCCATCCTTTCATATAACGCCAATTTTGGATACCCTGCAGGTGGCTAGATTCATATGCCTCCATCAAAATAGCAAAAAGGAAACCACTTTCACCCACTCTTCACCAGTCGGTTTACTCGCATGTGTATGTTATACAGCTGTAAATCCCTTTTCCACATGTGCATATTATGTGTATACATATATATATATATATACGTATATATATATATATGCACATGTATTTATTTTTATTTATTTATTTATTTCTCTACTGTATCTATTTATTCATGTGTTCATCTATTTCTTAATGACATAGATCGATGATTAATTATTGATGTTTGTTGATGATCAAATCAATGGGGATGGGTCAAGTTACCTATGAAATTACCGACTAGGGATTCATCCGACTATCGAACCAGCTATTTTCAGGTACCATCCAAGCACCAGGCTTTTGACCCATAACTGGTTGGTGGTATACCTACCCCTCTGAAAAATGATGGACTTCGTCAGTTGGGATCATGAAATTCCCAATAGATGGAAAAATAAAAGCCATGTTCCAAACCACTAAACCACCAACCAGATATACCCTCTGGCAAACTAACATAGCTATGGAAAATCACCATGTTTAATGGGAAAACTCACTATAAGTGACCATGTTCAATGGATGTTAGTTTACCAGAGGGTACTTTACTCAAGCAATCTGTCCCCTTCAGCCTGTGCAGCTCACGTCATCCAGTAGAATGGGTTGACTCTCCGAGCCCGGGCTTCCAGACTGGACGCGACGCGACGCGTTGGGATGGAACACCGGGGGAAACTTCGGGCGCCAAAGGTGGATCGTTGATGGATGTGTTCAACGCGGTTTATCATGGTTTATCATGGTTTATCATGGTGTTTTATCCACCAAAAATGATGGAAAAAAAAAGAAGAATTGAATATCAACGAAAAGTAAGAGGTGTTTTTCGTAAATGTCAACCGTCTGGATCCAGATATCCCCAAAAATTCTTCATCGGTGGCCCCCACAGTAAACAGTTGCGATTTTTTGAGGCCAACTATAGATATGTCACCATTAAAAATGATGATAGAAATAGTGGATTTTCCCATGAAAAATGGTTTAAATGCTGCTTCTCTAAGTGTAATCGAACTGTAGATATATCCAAAGCATGAATTCTTAACTTAGCCCGTACTTAAACACGAACAAAAACAATTACTTACCATCAACTCTGGATCCTCATCGTTTCTTGGTTATCATTTGTCTATGACCCGGAGCAACCCTGATTTTTGTTGGTTGAGCATCACTCACCATTTTTTTCGGGGCCCTTACTGAACTGCCCAAAACCTAACCCACGGCCCAAACCGCACCGCCGCAGAGGTGTCGGCTCGGGCAAAGGTGCCTAAGTCTTAGGCAAACCCCACAAGGCCAGGGAAATTTGGGCTGATTTTCCGGAATAAGTCTGATTTTCACGACACAAGTCAGTGTTATTTCTGAGTTCAACCTGGAAAGACTATGGAAATCTATGGCCAAAAACACACCAAAAACAGCTGCGAGGAAAACTCAGCCGTTTAGCCTCCATGAAATCCATACATCCATGGCCCCCCGCCCAATCTTTTCAAGAAATGTCACCGTAAAAATTCATCCATAAAATCAATCTGGTTGGTGTTTTTTCGCCCTACCCCTCTGAAAAATATGACGAATCGTCAGTTGGGAAGTTCAGAACTTCCCAATACAGTATATGGAAATTCATCATCCAGCCATGTTCCAGTCACCACCAACCAGCCATTATTACTATATAAATCACCATTTTCCCATGGTTTTCCCATGGTTTTCCCTATTGTTGATGGTTAAGTCCCCCATTTTAAGATGGCCATTTCATGGCCCCCATTTTCAGACAGACCGAGAGCGCCTGGGCTTCCCAACTGGTCAGGCCCAATTCACCACAGACCACGGAGGCCTCGACATCTCCGAAGTTGTCCTTACAGACCTCGGAGTTGTCACGTGAACGAACGAACGTTGAACACGTTGGCAAGTTGAAGGACCTAGTGATGTACCCGGCCTGGTAAACGTTTACAGTTTGCGAACTGGAAAATCACCATGCTATTTTCATGGGAAAATCAATTATAAATGGGCCATTTTCAATAGCGAACTGTAACAAATTACCTAGTGATGTAACGTGATGATCCTGTGACCTGGTGGGCAAGCCCCCCCAAACGTGATGTGGTTGGTTTCGTTGGTGAACAAAAACCATGACGGAATAGTATATATATCTACCCTCTGGTGAACTTACATAGCAATGGAAAATCACCATTTTTAATGGGAAAATCCACTACAAATGGCCATTTTCAATTGCTATGTTAGTTCACCAGAGGGTAGATATATCTACCATAAACCATGACGTGAAATTGGAGTTAGTTGCACGCACCAAGTTACCTAGTGATTTTTCAGAATCATCCTTAAGGTTGTGTAATCCCTCTCCCCCTAAAAAACAAAACACCCCCATTCTATGGTCCCAATGAAATGTGGAATTTCCTATTAAACCATGATTTCTAAGGGAGCTTTTAATATTAGGGGGATGGGATTATAAACAGTACTTAGAGGAGTAGATCTATGGATCTATGACCATCCTGAAGTAGATAATGGTTTAAAAGAATCTGAGGATTGTTTGACATTTCCGCATTCTAGAAATTCTATCTAATCCAGGATGACTACAATAATGGTGGTATAAACTCAACTATAGAGGGAATATAATTGAAAATGTATCAATGGGATATATCTCGCTTAGATGTTGCCAGAAAGAACTAAGTTGTAAGTGGGTTATAACCCAGTTACTCACTGAGTAAACCCCATGTCATAAACCATCCTCAAAAAAATGTTTATTCTGGAATTATTTTTGGTGACACTGTGGGATACTATGGGATATGTAGTATGGTACATTTACCGCTTCATCATTCCAAATTAAGGATGGTTCAATCACCTTAGCTCAGGTTGGTGGATTACTGTAGTTCAGCCATATCTTGCCATAGTTACATCCATAAATTACCCATGGTTATGCCATAGTTACATTGCTAATCTCAGATGGCCACAAAAAAATGGGGTGATCTCCACAGAAACCAATTTTTTTTGCCGGGGTCGAAACCCGGTTGGTCTCAACCAGCCCCCCGAAAGATAGATCCTCGTTTGGCGGGATCCAAGTCGCGGTCCACTTTTCAGAATTTGGGAGGATCAAAAGCCGATTTACCCTCCTGTTCAGATCCAAATCGCTGGTGTTTTTTTTGGATCGAACCGAAGCCCGAAAAAGTCGGTGGAAAATTGTAGATGTTGGTGGAAAGCGGTGGGTCTAAGGAATATTCTATCTAACTAGATCTAACTAGATTGAATACATCTATTCCTATGAAATTTCCACCCATCCCCAACGAAGTAAGACGCCACCAGCCATTTCTTGCCGAAGTTCCGTCCCCCATTCGCCATTGTAGAAGACCTCCACACGTCCAGCCACAGTTCCTTCCTCGGAGTTTTTCGGATGTGCACTGCAGACAAATCGGAACCAACCACCTTGTAGCGGTTCATAGGGGTTAGTGGTTGAGACAAGGTGGTACCCACTAGTTATGTGAACGTTGCTGTATAATCCCCATGAAAACTAGTTCGATATTTCACGCCCATTCATCAATTCTAGATTAATTGGACTTACCCTCTGGTTATGTCAAAATAGCTATTGAAAATGACCATTAATAGTGGATTTTCCCATTAAAAATGGTGATTTTCCATAGTTTTTTACCAACTTAGCTATCATAAATCAGTCATCCCATTAAACCCACATTTTCCTATGGTTTCCAAACGGTTTCCTTAGCGTTAACTCGGGCACAACCATTGGACGTAAGGATTGGAATTTCCAAAGAGGATCATCTGGATCTGCTTCGTTTTTGTGACGACTGAAGGCTTTGGAAAACCTAAAATGGGCATGAGACTTTCCCATCAACTGGCCACTTTACAGTATATATATATGTATACAAAGATAGATATAGATATATATATATAATATAATTATATATAATTATAGATACCTCGGTTTAAGATACACCCATGTTTTTTTCCAAGGGCATAACTTTGAATTTGATTCAGCCTGTGCTTTAACCATTGAAAGATTGGAGTCTAGCCAACATCTCATTTCAACCAACGATTTTTAAAAGTCTTCACCAACCAACATGAAGTTTCAGAATCAAAAAACAGGAGGTTAACAAGAAAGATCTTCAACTTCATCCAAAACATGGTGGTTTTTCCCATGTTTTACCCACCACTTTGTGTTCTTCAGGCCCTCCATCCCCAACACACCTGTGGCAATGCGTCTCCGACGTTGAAGATATCGCCTGAAAGGTGAATCCAAGGATCAGCCGTAAGTTTGTGTAATCCAACTGAGCGGCGTCGTAAACCGGGTAGCGATCTGGTTCTACTATAGAAAAGCTTTCGCGACGGCTTTCGCGGTGCTTTCGCGCGCACAGTTTTGGCTTTCGCGGCGGGATTTTTTTCGCAATATCTTTCGCGGCGGCTTTCGCGGAAAATATTCGTCGTAAATGATGTTTTACACTAGTCATCTGCTTTCGCGGCCGCTTTCGCGGCGTGACCTTGGCGCACTCCTTTCGCGGAGCTTTCGCACGGCTTTCGCGCGTGGAGGTTTTGCTTTCGCGGAAGGTTCCCTACATGAACCCGAATACTAAATCCCTTTATGGATGTTTTTGATGCTGCTCAACTATAAATGGCAATTTTCAATAGCTATGTTTTTTTCAACTGGGGATCTCTGGGATTTTTAAAACTGGAGATCAATTGGGATATCAATGGAATATACCCTCTGGTAAACCTTTACAGTTTGCGAACTGGAAAATGGCCCAGTCGAAATAGTGGATGGAATTCCAGCTATGAAATGGTGGATCTTTCCAGTTCGTTTTTTGTTCACGTTTACCAGGCCGGGTAATTCATGAAATATCTCGATATTCCCATGAAATCCCTCGATATATCTTGGCTAAATCCACCATGTCCGAAAAGGTCATCGAACGAAGCCAATGGCTGTTCCACGACTGTGTCAGTTTGAGGGTATCCCGGAATGGGTACAAGGTGAGGGCCCTATGGCCCTATGGTCATGTTTGGCGCTTACACCCATGAAAACTAAGCCCAACAGTTAACCAAGTGACTTGCGTCAACCTGTCGCGATTTCGTAAGGCTGGGGGCCTCACCTTGTAGCTAAGTTGGTTTGGTTCAGGAGCTCAACTAGGGTTTACGGTAGATAACGGTAGAGATATCTATAGCATTCTATAGCTAGATGGGTTGTAACCCCAGGAATCAGAGGTCAGCCATTCACGTGCGACGAACTTGTGCCGATCACTTGCGACGAAGGGTCCTCATCCTTGCGACGAAGATTTCACCCACTATTATATAAGCCAGGGATTCCTTTGGGGTGTTTAACCATGAGGGGTCAGGGATTGTATGTTCATTATCATCATGAGATACCCTCTGTCTCGATGAAACTATAACAATCATAGAAAAAAAAAAAAAACATATTTTTGGATGGTTAAATCATGTGAAATCTCCATGCTCATAGATACACTCTGGTAATTTAACATAGCTATTGAAAATGACTATTTATAGTGGATTTTCCCATTGAAAATGGTGATTTTCCATAGCTATGTTAGTTTACCAGAGGGTAAATCAGAAGTGATGCATGAAATCCCATGAAATCCCCCATGGTTTCACCCCATTTTTCCGGGGATTTCACCCCATGTTGAAATCCACCCAGCCAGCCTGAGAGCTGCACCAGGCGCACCGGTGGCGGTGGCAACGTGGTGGTGGTGGTGGACGTCAGAGTTCGGGTGGTGCTCGTGTTGGTGGCCACCTCGGAAGGTTTTTCGGCCGGAAGGTGATCCCATGACTCATAGATATTGAAGGGATGAAGTGACTAGTTATGTAGTTATGTAGTTATAATCATCTAGATATGATTAGTTATATAGTCCGACTCTTATTTTTCAGTGAGTATTTTTTCATAGCTTCAATACTCATCATACATATATACATCATATATATAATATATAGTATATATAATATTTAATATTGAAGCTATGTTTACCAGCTTTGCTGTACAAGTAATTCATCCAGATCAAAAAAAAAAAACGCGAGGGTGAAATCCCGGGCCTCGCCAAGCGTGCCAAGTCATTGGGTATCCAATGGAGAAAAAACGGGGATATGTCATGGGAATATCCAACTTTTATATGTGGTGAATTGGTAAATGAAGATCATCCAATATATACTGGCATTATATATATATTAATGGGATTTTAATGGGATTTCAATGGTTAATGATGATGGTTAATAATGGTTAATAGATGGTTAATGACGGTTAATAATAATCTGCTTGGTGGTTTTTCGCCCTACCCCTCTGAAAAATGATGGTTCGTGAGTTCGTCAGTTGGGATCTGTAAAATTCCCAACTTTTCATGGAAAGTCATAATCCATTCCATGGTTCCAGTCACCACCAACCAGGTACAGTATGTAATGGGAATGTGATGGAAACGCCATGGAAAAAAAAATCGGGATTTCTAGAGTCCCCTGGAATCGAAATGGGACTGAATTAAAATCGACAGGTTGACGCAAATAACTTGGTTAACTAGGATTTACCCTCTGGTAAACTAACATAGCTATTGAAAATGGCCATTTTTAGTGAGTTTTCGCATTAAAAATGGTGATTTTCCATAGCTATGTTAAATTACCAGAGGGTATGTTGGATATAACTTATATAACTATAAAAGTGTATGCTTTCCAGACATATACGCTCCATATGGTCTACAATGTTGGCAACTAAGTTCAGTTCCAGTGAACTAAGTGGATATAACTATCATTCTAGGACATATATCCCAACAAACATGGGGGCTTTCGTTCACCATTGTTTAACCCTTCCTGCAACCCACCGAGATCTGAAACAAACCTTCGATCCGAGGCGCGGGGTAAATACCGCAATTCTTCACCAAACCTCGATTTTGGCCATGTCGAATTGCAGATGATCAGATGATGTTCTCATTCAAATGCCCATTCACAGGAAAAAATCCGTTGCTGCTATGTGTGATTACAGGAGGCTATTAACAAATTTATTCTGAACCGGATGCAAACGGTTTGAGCAACTGTGGGGAACAGTCACATCAGGAAGGTCAGGTTTGGTCAGCGACTGTTCTATCCCGTGCCATTAAACTGGCGGTTTGTATATAGATATTCCCATTATGGGCTCTAGTAATATCAAACTAGGTAGGTTGATCTCCCCCATACAATAGCCAATCAACAAGAATATTTGCCATAATCCAAATATGCTATGTATATATAAAGATATGGTCGTCCATCCTGTATTGGGAATACTTACAGGGGCAATTGTCAATCCCTATCAATGAATTGATGACCCTCCAATATAAATCCATGACATATCCCTATGAGACTCCCATTCCCCGTATGTCTCGGGAGAAAAAGGGGGTTTCCATAGATGGGGGTTGATCAAAATGGATGGTTTACAATGGAAAATGATATTAAAATGAATAATTTAGCGGTACCCCTATTTCAGGACACCTCCATATCCCTTCTTGGCGGTGCAGTCCCACTAACACATGGGTTACATGACTATCGTTGTAGGAGCCCATATTACAACAACAAACATGGAGGTTCAATTCCAAGCGTTATACCCATTGACTAATAACCCCAACAAAGCTCCCAAGTATATTCCAACCAACTTAGCTATCATCAATCAGGTAAAATGCCATTAGATCCCCATAAATCAGCTATAACTCCCAAGAATTAGTTATAGTAGTATAAGAGTCAATGGGATTTGTAAACATAATCATCATTATAATATCATAAGTTATAATTATGGTTGGATTTATTCTCCTAATATAACTCCCAATCATTAGTCAACTACTTGGAGTATCATCCCGCTTCGTAAGTGCTTAATAACCCATGGTTAGTAAGTCCCCTAAGTCGGGTTATCCTACATACATATTACATATATATATATATATACATACATGATCATACATACATACATGCATACATAATGAGGGTAAAAATAATAAACCGCCCATTTGTCAATGGTTTATACCATCTATAAAAATGGTGATGACTGAAGGATGGCTTATGACATTGTTTTACCCACATTCTATGGGTTATAACATGTTAGAAAACCCCAGTTACTAGCCACCAAGTCCCAAAAGATCTTCGTTCGTCGCCAAAAAAAAAATGCCAAGACGCAGTCGTCCAAGCACGACACCTCGTCCACCGAAGCATCATCCGATACGTCCCTGTGGGGCTTCGCAGTGGGGTTTTCCAAAGGGTTGGCGAGTGCAATACCTAGGGCCTCTGGTCAATGGGATTTTTTTCGGATCTTGAAATGAAGGTACGTTAGTACCATATTTTTTGCCATATTTTATGGGGATGTTCCCTGAAATTTAGGCCTGAAAAATAGGCCTTATATATGGTAGGTACCTCCAATTTAGGATCCTGAAATGGCAATTGATCTGGTAAACATAGCCTTTGGTAAACGTTTACATAACTATGGAACATCACGATGTTTAATGGGTAACTCAATGATTTCTATGGAATTTTTCAATAGCTATGTTAAATTGCCAGAGGGTAGCTATGGAAATTAATATATAGTGCGATGAATTACCTTTTATAAATGGTGATTGTCCATAGCTATGTTAAATGACCAGAGGGTAAGTCCAATAACTGGGTTTATGGTAGAGAATGGTAGAATATGGTAGATATATCTAAAATTCCATGGAGACTAACCAACTTATACTTGGAGGGCACCAATTAAAGTGCCACATTTGGAGGGGTCGTGTCAAGTGTGATATGTTTTAGTGTATCAAAAAAACATGTTTGAATCCCAATTCTCCTCCCCACTTGGAAGTGCAGTTCCGGGCTTCACTAAGTGGATATATGTATAATCATAGTTATAGGGCTTATATCCCAACAAACATTGAGATTTAGTTCACCATGGTTGTAACTCATATCCCACGAATATTCCAATATATCCCCATTATACCACCATGATTCTTGCTTATATTCCCATGAAATCCCATTAAATCACCATTTAATCCTATTAAATCCCATGAAATCACCATTAAATCATCATTAAATCCCACTAAATCCCATCAAATCCCATGAAATCACCATGAAATCACCATTATATAGATGATCATAAAAGTTTCACCTCTGACCTGCAACCCCTGCCCAGAGGTACCCTTCGCGCCCCTTGACCCAGCTACCCGGTGTTGTTGCAGAAATCCGTGCAGTTCTGCTCGCAGACGCTGTCAAGGCGTCGGAAGCTGGCCGGGGTTCAAACGCGGAAAAATTTTCAGATTTGACCAGCAATGGTTGGTGAACACGTTGGATTTGGATGAACCTGAAATACCCTCTGGTATACTAACATAGCTATGGAAAATCACCATTTTTAATGGGAAAATCCACTATTAATGGCCATTTTCAATAGCTATGTTAAATTACCAGAGGGTAGTTGGGACAATTTTGGATGAACCAGCAACCTGTTGCATTAATCAGAAAACTGGGGGAAAAAATCGTGGCACTGCTGTGTATAACCAGCAGTTTGATGTGGTTCCAGCGGGATAGCGGCTATGCATAATCTATGATAAATCCATATAAATCCCTGGTTTGTTGGGAAACCAAACTGACCAAACATGCCGTTCCAGAGCCCGGGCAAAACAAACCATGGCGATTGGTCCATGGGGAAACCGTTCAGAATATGATCCACATAAATGGTGGCTTTTCCACATCTATCTGGGTAAATTATCATATTTCACCAACCTGAATTGTTGGGCCATAAAAGGGGATCATTTCCCGCAATCTAACTATGAAATCATAGTGAGGGAGAACAGTTAGGTCGTGATGAAATTTACCCAGATCGTGATGTTAGTTTGTTGTAAGCTCATCTATTCAATCGTAGGATGATCGTCCAGCGATTCCTGGGTTTGCTACCCCCCCAACTACTTCAGGCTCCTTTTGACGCCTGTTTTGGCCATCAGGGTCAAAATGCAAGAGCCGCTCTGGGCCTCAAGTTATCATTTTTGTACCCTCTGGTAAACTAACGTATCTATGGAAAATCACCATTTTTAATGGGAAAACTCACTATAAATGGCATTAAATGGCCATGTTCAATAGCTATGTTAGTTTACCAGAGGGTAAATCCTATGTTTATTGAAAATCCCATATTTTTGCTCCATCCAATCCGTCATGAATCCCCATGTCCGTCATATCCAACCATGTTTTAAAAAGGCTCAAAATACCGTGGGTTTTTCCCATGGTTTCTCGGTGACCTGGACGTCTCATCATCCTCATCAAACAGGTCGCTCAAGCGCCGAGTGGAATCCTGGACAGCTTCGATGCGTGGCACCGGGGGCGAGGAAGCCCCTTCCCACGGGGAAGGAAAACACATCCGCCAGGTCGATTTTTACACAGATTAACCATGGAAGTCCGGAAAAAAAACAATTCTCAGAGGAAAAAACCTCCTACCCTCTGGTAAACATACAAAAAACTGATGGGGAAATCACCATGTTCAATGGGTAAATCCACTATTTCTATGGCTACTTGCAAGTTCGCAAACTCTTAGTTTACCAGAGGCTAATCTTTGCAACGGATTGTCCCACCACAAGGATCTACCACTAAACATCAGATGGTTAGTGATGTCATTAATCCTTTACATGACTATTACACCCCCCCATTAAAAATGTTAAAACCCTTACTACCTAAGCTACTAACTTTCAAATTTGAAATCCCGTTGAATCACACTACCCTCTGGTAATTTGTTACATAGCTATTGAAAATGGCCATTTATGGTGGATCTACCCATTGAAAATGGTGATTTTCCATAGTTATGTAAAAGTTTACCGGAGGGTAAATCACATAAAATCACACATAATCACCATTGTCCCACCATAACTCACCTCCCCTTCTGAGTTCTCCAACCAAGTACGCCCTCCGTTTCCCTGTCAGGTCGTTTCCCGGTCCTGCGTGCTGACCATGGAGTACGACGTCCGCAGCAAGGAGCCTTGGCGCACAACCCTTGGTCAACTCTTTGGTTGCTGGGGGATATGACGAAGTAGTGGGCTTACTTGGTTGAGGGGACCGGGGGAGGTGAGTTATGGTGGGACAATGGTGATTAAGTGTGATTTTATGTGATTTACCCTCTGGTGAACTAACAGTTTGCGAACTGGAAAATTACCATGTTTAATAGGTAAATCCACTATAAATGGGCCATTTTCAATAGCTTATAACCAACTGGTTGGTGGTTGACCTACCCCTCTGAAAAATATGATTTCGTCAGTTGGGATGATTATTCCCAATATATGGAAAAATATTTAAAAAATGTTCCAAACCACCAACCAGTATGAGTGGGGCTATTGAAATGTGTTGGTTGAATGCTGAAATCCCCGACACTTAGTATTTAACATGTAGCCACCATTTCAAACGGTCCTTAACCAACTGGCTTTTGGGTTCCCAGGTGTATATAATATCATATATCTCACTATTCTATTCCACTATAGTCCTCATGAATCCCATTCATCTTAAATATCATACATATATTCCATTATCCATGATATCATATATCCCATATATTGTATCATATCATATATCCCACTTTATCCTCATGAATATTCCATTATATTCCATTAATATCCTAAATTAGATCCACGATGATCCACGTAAATCTCCGGATTTAAGCCCAGTGAAATCAGCAAAAAAACGAATGCCCAGCGGCCCAAATTGTATCGTGTCCACCTCGAACGACGCCGGCCGGGGTAGGCCTGTGCGATCGTGCCTCGGAGCGCTTCGAAACCGTTGTTTCGGGCTTCGCCAATGGCGCCGCCGTTGAGGTGACTGAACTAACAGAAAATCGGATTTCAACAACAAAAATGGGGATTTAGCTTAATCCCTTAACCAACACAAATTGGGGGTTGACCAACAGAAATTGTGACTGAACCATTTTGATTGAAATGCCAAGAATGCGGATTTCATCAGCAACATGTCTATAGTTTAATCAGCAAACATGGTGAGTTCAGCGGCAAAAGTTCGACTTTGACCAACAAGTTCATCAGCCACGTGGCTGGAAAGTCCTCCACTTAGTTTCGGGCTTATGTTCCTGTTCAAACACCATTGATGTACCCGGCCTGGTAAACGTTAACAAAAAATATGGAAAGATCCACCATGCTATTAATGGGAAAATACACTATAAATTACCATTGATGTATGATTTTGCATTGCCATATTTAAGATGACTAAAGGAGGGTTTTTAGGAGGGTACTATTCGGTGGTCCATTCCACTTAGAAAGTGGCTTACAACACCGGGGCAATGTGCGGTGAACTAACCCACTTAGGAACTGGTGTGACCACCATATCATGATATATTGATATATCCAATGTAAATCCAATCGGTAGCCTAGTTATGAATAGATCAACCAATTTATCCATCAATCATCAACGATGATTAACATCCCCACATAAGTCTTGATTATAAATCCCCATTTGTTTGGGGGCGAAATGAATCTTGTCTAAATCACTATGCTTTTTCCTGCTGAAAATCATCGGTTCAATTGCTGAATTTTCACAGCTACCTTCTGGTGTTGTTTGTATATAGCTATGGAAACCATTGCATTCCCATTAATTATTTCAGTTGGTTAAATCCCACTGAAATGCCGCCCTGTGGTGGGTCTGAAATTTCTTTGTACCACCTGCCATGCCGTCATTTCATCAGTTCCCTACGAGAAATTGCCCTTTTCAGATACAAGGTGGTGCCCCAGTTCGCTAGCTAAGTTGGTGCAAATAAGTCCAATTAATCTAGGGTTAATTACGGGGTTATATCGAACTAGTTTTCATGGGGATTATAAACCAACAAACATCACTAGGCGGGCACCACCAACCGTACACAAAGGGCCCTTCTTCTGCCCAGGTTGCTGGTCGAACTGCCAAAGGGATCGCTGGGGAAGAAAGCTCTGGTCCTGACAGTTTGTCACAGTTCGGACCAGTTCGTTTTCAAGAAGAAGTGTCCAGAAAAAATGAGAAACCATTAGGGGCAAATGGAAGTTCAAGATGGAGGAAAATCAATGAAAATGGTTAGTTGCTTATAAATCTTAGAACTTGTTCAATCCTTGGTTTAAATCCCCATGAAATCACCATGAAATCCGGATCACAAAAAAGCCCCCAGCCCCAAACGCCCACGCCCACGCCCCGTCCTGTCAGCCTCAGACCAGTCGTGCACCGCCGCGCACCTGGCGTACTGGTTGGTGGTGCAATAACCATCTTGAAAAATATGAGTTCGTCAATGGGAAGGATGACATCCATTGACATCCCATATACTATGGAAAAATGCAAAATGCTCCAAACCACCAACCAGTATTTATATTTGTATATGTCATAGATATGTATATATATATACAAATCTATATATATATTGTCACGTTGTAAACATCTATGTATACATATATATATATATGTATCTATATTCTCTATTGGATGACAAACCCTGGTTTTTCACGGTTCTTCAAAAATCGGCACCTCCAAAAGTTTCGGCCTCCAAGTCTCGACTTGGAAGGGGGGCACCAAGATGACACCATTCACTACTTCAGCGTGCATCCACGTTACCCTCTGGTAAACTAACAGTTAGCTATTGAAAATGGCCATTTATAGTGAGATTTCCCATTAAAAATGATGATTTTCCATAGCTATGTTAGTTTACCAGAGGGTAGTGGTCAGTAATCTATAGATGATGAGTGGGTGGTATCCCGGTTGCTGGTTTCAATCCCTCTGAAAAATGATAGAGTTCGTCAGTTGGGATGATGACATTCCCAACTGAATGGAAAAATTTAAAAAAATGTTCCAAACCACCAACCAGTATCATGTTGTATCCCAGAATATCCTGGACATAACTGGGTTGTCATCTGGCGTTTTACCTACGGATCGCAGCGAAGAAACATGTGGAATGGTCCCTGGTACATTCTCACTGCTGGTTCAACCTGGTTAGAAACCATAGTTACCCAATTATAGGGGGGAGAAGCCTACTAAGTAGGGACTACCTATGGTTACAAACTACTTACTATGTGGTTTGGGGATGAGGTCCTGATATTCATAATCAAATAGTAGTTGATATTATTTGATAATGGGTGGTTATAACATGCTATAACTACGGACCACTTACTATGTTGAACATCTAAGTGGATACTCGTAGATGTTAGATTAGCTGGATTTTCCACTTAGATAGCTGTACTACGAACTGACTACTACCCATCCAACTTATAAGTACTATGTTAGACTATGTTGCTAATGGGTACTACTTACTAAATAAGTAGACGATCCTCCAAGTACCTCTCCGCAGTGCACGCGTGGTCCTTTGCCTTGCAGGCAGCGGCATGGTCTTGTAGTACACCCAGCGGTCGTCATTGTCTTCCCAGATCTGCGGCAAGCTGAAACAAAAAAAACACGTGGAAAAATGCGCGAAACATTAGTTGAACTATAAGAAAGTTGGTGAATTCATGGGATTTAACCAAACATGGTGCTTGTTGTTGGAGTTTATCTGTAGGAGTTCAACCGACACTAATGGTGATTCAAACATTCTTAGCTGGTGAACGTAGATAATCCATGATAATCCCATACGAAAAGACTATGTTGGATTAGTTTCTAGCCATCTAAGATTGCCCTAGATACCCCATCATTAAACCACCATTAAACCATCGTTTCACCATCTAAGATTGCCCTAGAAGAATGGTAAAATGAGAATGCCCTCCTGGAATCAAACCCTGGAATCTAACCTGGCATTTTCTCGAAATTCCGGGAAGGTTAAGCCATAGAAAATTCCACAAGTTGTATCTTCTTTTCCCTGAAAACTGTGTGTTTTATTATGTATATATATATATAGATAGATATAGATATAGATATAGATGTAGATATAGATATAGATGTAGATATAGATATAGACCTTCATCAATCAAGTTGTAGCTTATTAACCCCAGCTTACACTGAAAATGCGGGCAGCCCGGCAGCAAATCTTCAGAATTGTTAGGAAACCGATCTTCAGGACCCGATTCTTGCGACAATCTAGTTGTTTCGTTGGCAAAATCCCACAAAACCATCTTTAATTGGTGGGTAAAAAAGCGAAATGTCTTTTGTCGTAAGGCAAACAAACAAAACAACACAAAATCAGTGCAGGAAAAAGGAACACTTTGGAACACTTAATATATGGTAATCCCTTCCATCCGCTGGTTATTTTTTCAAACAGCTTGACCTCTGGGCACTCGGACATTGCCACGTAGGGTGTCGGATGTCACACACTGACTCCTGAATTTCTGTGATCAGAATCCCAACCCGAAACATGCTGTCAGAAGTTATATTTAGTGGAAGGTTCCTTAGAGATATTAGTGATATATCACCCTTAGAACTCATAGATTTATATAGATTTCCCCTTTATCAGGCACTCAACTTTATAGACGGTTTGGGTTGGCGGTGTGCTGTTCTGGGAAATTAGTTGTTTACAATGTGTTCTTCAAATGAACATGTTTTCATAACGCTACAAATTTGGATCTTAGTTATACATCCCTTCCGAAACAATACCAATATCTGAAACACACCGCAAAATCATATGTTAAATACCCATAGACACTCGGTTTAGTATTGAATCAATGTGTAGCATAAATTATCATATATATATACAGTTCCAGCCATTTTCTACAAACTTGCATCCTAAACAAGAGCCGCATCATGTTACATGATGTTCTTGGTTTCTGCGCAACATGTGCAACACTCAACTGACAGAATTTAACGCGGCGAGTGTTATTTGTATGAAGATGACTTATTGTAGCATTGTATGTTACGTGCAACTTTTCACTTTCAGCAACAAGTTGTTTTATCGTTGACATCATGTGAATAGCAAGGGAGAATCTAGTCTAGGTATCAACAAAAATACCTTCCCGAAGGCATGATGCAGATATCAAAGCATAGTACCGTCACACTTCATACCATCTAATTTCGACAATTAACCGTTTATCGTTGGGATGATGTCAAGAACAAACTATTACAGCTTGGGTTGAACAAGACATGTTTTGGGCCAAAAGTTTTGGGTTGTCTTCATGCTTCCCCATTTAGCTCACAGCATTGCTACGCACTGTAGTGATTTAAGTTTCACTATTTGTGGTTGCTAAAGCTAGTATGATTGTGGCAAGATTTTAGCCAAAAGTTGATATAATTCTTGCCATTTTTTGGCAAAAGTGTTTATACATAGTTCTTGACATTTTGTTAGCAAACATGTCTGGTTTTCTGAACCGGTTTAACATTATCAAAAATAGTTCTAGTCATATTCTAAATAGTTCCAGTCACCCAAGAAATAGTTCCAGCTGGGGGTACCCCTCCTGACCATAGCCTTAAATAAAGAGGACAAGGAAAGTCCTTACATATATACTGGTTGGTGGTTTCAACCCCTATGAAAAATATTAGTCAGTTGGGATTATTCTTCCCAATATATGGAAAAACAAAAAATGTTCCAAACCACCAACCAGTATATATAGAGATATACACATACAATCACATACATTTGGGCAGCCATGTCAGTCCCAAATGTCATCAACAAATACTGGTAGCATAGAAATGACTCGCCATGTTGGGATATGAAACCAGGCCATACTGGAGGGGAGCGAGAGAGGATCCAGGCTCAAAATGACCTTGATCGGCTGGTTCCTGTCACTCTACAGTTGAAGTGGTCACTGATCAACTCCAAATGCTCGCTTTGAACTGCCGGGAGCATGAACTATGACTATGATTCATAGGTCTTTCAACTGAAATGAAGCACTCCCAATAATCCTCGCTGGGCACCTTCAGCCATACTTGACTTGCTAGTGTACCCTCCGGTAATCAAACGTGGCAAAGGTGACAACAACTCCGAGCCCCAGGGATAAGAAAATTCAGTTCTGACCCATCAAAAAAAAACATTCAACATAGCCTAAGTCCAAAAAACATGCTTAAAGTAACATTCCCTTATCTAGATGAAAGAAGTTGCAGTTGGAAAAAAAATATGCAATAATTACATCATTACAACAATTCTTCTACTCGAAATGCCAAAGAGTATCAAAAAGTCGATGAAAACACCCGCCAACACATACTGGTTGGTGGTATACCTACCCCCCTGAAAAATGATGGAGTTCGTCAGATTGGATCATCATCCCCAGTATTGGGGGAAAAAAAAGCTATGTTCCAAATCACCAGCCAGCATAATATACCCTCTGGTAAACTAACATAACTATGGAAAATCACCATTGTTCATGGAAAAATCGCTATTTCAATGGTGGATCGTTCCATAGTTATGTTCCAAATCACCAACCAGATCTACTATAGTTACCATCTAGTTAAACTACAATCATCTCTATACAACCAAAGTTATATACCATAGTTATATCTATAGTTCATAGATATCCCAACCAGCCATAGATTTTTTATAGATCAAACCAGCCTTGTTTCACCATCCCCAGCCTCAGGTGGCATCCCCAGGTTTCATGGTACGAAAAGGAGTTGCAGAGCCTGACGCCGTGGCGTGGTGCCAGGTGCTGCCCATGGAAATAGTCCATTCATATACCATTGATATGCATGAAAACCATGGGAAAAACCGGCATCAATCCACATTAATCCATATAAAACCATTATAAATCCTATACTGGGGAGAATTGGAGCTATCAATGGAAATATGTCATAGGTCCACTTGTGGTGAATTGGTAAATGAAGATCATCCAATATATACTGCTTGGTGGTTGACCTACCCTACCCCTCTGAAAAATGATGGAGTGAAAGTCAGCTGGGATGATTATTCCATTCCCAACTTTTCATGGAAAGTCATAAAAGTCATGTTCCAAAGCACCAACTAGAAAAACTGTTTTTTTTAACCCTACCAAAATGGTGATTTCTATGGATTTCATAGCTGCTAGATCTCCAAGTGACCCAGGTCATCTCAGTGTGATGGGAGAGTTCTGTCTGCTGAGTTAAACACCTGAACTCTTCAGCAATTTAGCTATACCATCTGGTTATGACTAACAGTTTGCCATGGAAAATCCCTCATAAATGGAGGTTTCCAGCCGGGAAATCATTTATAAATGAGCCATTTTCCATGGCTATGTTAAATAACCAGAGTGTAATAAGTCAACTGGAAATCTCCATTCGTGTTGTTCCAATCGCCATGTTTGCGGCTCACCATTTACCCTCTGGTAAGCTAACCTGTCAATGAAAAATCCACGTTTGCATCCCCATACATGGCCCCCATCCGCTAACACCTGCTAGTGAAGGTTAATAGCGGATGCCGGCCGGCAACGTGGGTGGAATGAAGATCACACATTTACTTGGATGTGCCCCGGAAGAAACATGACTGGATAGTGACCTATACACAAGTAGCGATATCCCATATATATAGTATAGTAACCCCCAAAAAAATAGAAAAGCGATTTACACCGTAAGGCTGGTGATAATAATATACATGAAATTGGCTGGATTTTGCCCACTAGAAGTGGATTCAAGAAGCCTACTTTTGGTTGGATACCCACTATGTTGATAGGATGTTACTGTTCTATCACCATTAATAGGACATAATAGGACACTTTTCTATCAAAACAACACCGCACAGGATGGTGCCCCCCAGTGATGTTTGTCGGTTTATAAACCCCATTAACTAGTTCATTATATCTACCATAGACCATAGCTAACCAAGTTATGTCCGTCAACTTAGCTAACGAACTGGGGCACCACCAACCGCATGAATTTCACACAAATTCCAGCAGACACCGAGCGATGCCCAGGGACGGTTCGGCAGCGCAACGCTCTTTGCAGAAGGTCACTGAACCTCAGATCCCCTCTGGAGCGGATCATGAGAAACGGGACGCGACACCCCGGAATCGCGAAGTTTCGCTCAGTTGGTTCAACATGGTTTAATGAATGCAATATTTCTAGGGTTTATGGGGGTTATACATATATATATATATAATCATCATGTATATATATATAATCATATATATATATATAGTTAATGGGGATTCTACACCAACATCCCTAGAAACCCACCACCTTGTGGGTTATACTCTGATCACAACGGGTCCTTTGAGGATGCAACGAAAAAAACAGTTTCTATCCAGTGCCTGGCCCAGCCAGAGGGCCCCTACAAAAAATGAGAAATTCTTAGGTGAGTTAGTAGATCATCCCATACCAAAGTCGACGATCAATTGGATTAGTTTCTAGCCATCTTTCAGATTGACCTAGAAAATGAAAACTGACATAAAACCCATCCAAAGATATCTAAGATTAGTTTCTAGCCATCTTTCAGATTGACCTAGATTCTTAGTCATCTTGCCAGTCTTGCCAGTGCCAGTCTTGATTCAACATGTTCCCAGAATCAGATCATAAACCTACCAATGTCACCCCCGAGCCGACCGTCGTGCCTTGTCTGAGTGAACTCACATTCCCCAAAGTGACACCAGAATCGTTGGTTCTGAAGAACTATCTTCAGGGTGAATTCAGGTTTTTTTTTACAGGAACCCTTTGGGTTTTTTCATATCGAAAGTTCCTGTAGATGTTCCCTTAAACCAATTCTGGGAAACCGCCCAATTTGTTTGGTGGTTCACTTTGAGCCGCCCCAAATAGTCTGACCAGAAAGAAACCCAAGTCGCCAGTGTCGATAGAAAAAAAACTGTTGGTCGGGCTTTGTTTGAAAATTCTGTAGCCCAAAATCCAGTGGTGTGTTAAAATCATTCCTTTTTCGGGTGTATACATCCTATGTTCAGACGCACCCAAATGATGTTTCCATATTTTCCTGTGAATCTTGAACTTCGAAATGGCACGCCATTTCAAAGTTCGCTGTTCGAGTGGCTACAGGTCATAAGTTTTAGAACTTAACAGAGCTATGGTATAGAGGGTCCATTTGGTTGGATGATGTACCTGTGAAAAATGATGGTGTTCCATTCCATTGCTGTGTTAACCAGCGGATATAGAATACTATAGTAATATACACGAATATCAAGTAATATAATACTACTAACATACAGAATATGCAATCCCCCCAACAAAGAGTTTGATCTTGAGAATCATGTTCAAAGGTAGTTTTCGAACCCCAACTTGCAGGATCTAGGTCATATCCCCATATCCTAACTTGTGGAGGCTCTCAACCCCAACTGCATCAAGTATGCTTCTTACCCACTTACCCTCCAGTAATCAAATGGGGCAATTGACATTCCACCACTTGAGTTCGGTGATTTTCCCAGCCAGAAACTTCCATTTAACTTCCGGGATTCTAGAAACTAGAGACCTCCATTTACTTCGAGGATTTCCCAAAAAATACCTCTGACACTTAGCCGAGGCTAAGATCCACCTGTCCTCACGCCCCGGGAGCCCCGGGTGCGGCACGGTGTCCAGCGTAGACGCCCAGCGGAATGCCCTCGAAGACGAAGCGCCCACGGAAGGCTGCCTCAGAGGACGCGCAAGCACCGAGGTGAAGATGGGCCACAGCCATAAGCCATACATCTGGAGATATGCAACATATGGAAATGTTTATAATATCAATGGATTATGAATATATATATATATACTTATATATATATATACTTATATATATATACTTATAACTTATATATATATATACTTATTTTGTGACATATACATAATCATATACTGTAATTATATATGCATATACATTGAGAATAATGGTCTGAATTGGAAACGGGATCGTCAAATGCCCAACTTTTACCACGGCAGCGCGGTATGACTCAAGGGCCCTAAAGCCAAATGTCAACGGGGCATGTGATCACTTGGCTATACAAAATATACATTAGACAGGTCAAACTCACACTCAACCTGTTCTTCAAGGATCACATGATGCTAGTGAAAAAGTTGGCTCTAAGGCTCTTCTGTACACGATAAATGCACTCCTTCAAAACGCGGATAATGAGGTCCGGGCGCATGCTCTTGGTCAGAGCATCCGAGACCATAGTCCCTGTAGCAATCCAGCTAACAATGTCTCCTCCGCCATGATGCATATCCCAGGTCCTCCGGCCGTCTTGCCAAAGTGACTCATGAATCGACTGCAACTCAATGCCGAGTCGTTTGTCTGCGACCCTGCCGAGTACCTCATTCGCAAGATGATCTGTTAAAGACCTGCAGTCTGAAAGCATCAGTTGTGGAATACAGCTGCGGCTGTCATCCAACCATGTTTTCATCGAGTCAAGTTGGCCCATCAGTTCGGCCAATGCTCCACGTAGCTTGTCACCGCTCTCTTGTCCAGCCTGCAGTGAATAAGCTTCGCATTGAAGAGTGCTGCGGCATACTCGCCGAATTGTATTTGATGCAAATCCCAATGGCATCACCCTGTAGGATGTAGTCTTGGGGTCTTTGATCTCATTGATGTCTCCAAGAAAATGGAAACGTCCTTGTTGTGATTTGTAGTTCTTCTCGTTTGAAAATGAAGCATCTGTTACTGTAATGATACCAACCTCTCCCCAGGTTAGATGTCCACCTGGAAAAATGAGCTTGTTCTCAATGCCTTGTTGTGCCAGCTGTACTACGGCATTTGCGTCGTGCAAAATAGCAACTGTCGCTCCAGAAATACTGGACTGTAGGCGGCTCACACGATAACCCAAATCGGGTCTAGTCTGCCTTGCCACCCATGCCAATGATCCCGTTACAGATCGTAATCGGGTCACATCATCCTTACCCAACGGCTCGGACGCTGATCTTCCTGGCGCGATCTTGATCGGCTTGATGCGACGGGTGTTGTCACAAGTGTCTTGTGTGATTGTTCCATCTGCAGTACGCTCAAATTGCTTGCCACAATAGCGAAACGAATTTGATTCACTAGATCCCAAGTTGAACTTCTCCAAGAAGCTGTCGATCACTGACTTTCCCTCAGGAATGTATGCGTACAAGATGTCATCCACATGTGTCGCCATAAGTGCAACGCAATCTTTGTCGGTTCCTGGAAGGAAATACAATCCTGGGTAAAACTTGGATTGTTTCAAGCCACTGGATCGGGCATCTCCGTCCAACCTCAACCAAAAACCTCGACCGCTGTCAGTCAATCCATATATAGGCACCCGCACAAGGAAAAACACCTCTGGATCAACTCCCGGGAGACCTCCTCGGGGTTGTCTCATAATGAGAACTCTATCAAGAGGACGACCTTGGAAATATGCGGATGCGACGTCCGCACTGTGCAATTGTGCACCCTGGATCGCCGCCCAACAGCAAAGAATATTGTGAGCTTCCGTATCTGCTGTAGGACTGTCTGATCTCAAACCTTCACTGACTTCGAAATTGCCGCATGATACCAACCGGCTCTTGAACTTTGGCACATATCCTTGATCTGATCTTCCTTTCATGAACTGATTCTTGTCAACATCAACCCACTTGCTAGGAATACATTGATGTCCTTCTGCAATCAGCCCCTCAGCATCTTCTTTTGAGATTTCAACAACAGCAGCGAACTCAAGGAACTTGCTCCACTCCTTGGCTCTGGCATCCATGATGTTCTTCTGTACGTCAGGTGAAGCTGATTCATAGTGGATTGATTTCAACACTTTCTTACCTTGCTCTTCGTCCTCAGGGACTTCAACTTCCTGGGACAAAAATGATGCAAACAATGCTCGTGCTTCTTGTTGTTCTTCAGGACTCCGTTCTGAGTCTCTCTCTCGAGCTCTTTCAAGATGTGTTCGCAATTGATGTGGTAAGTCATTCAAAAGTTCCCTTCGCAATGGCCAAGATGACGCTGACGGCGAGGATAGTGGTCCCAAAACGGAGCCACTTGGAGTAAGATCAGGCACAAAGGAGTCTCTTCGAGATGGCACAAGTGATGAGCCTCTCTCCGACTCAGGTTGTAACTGAGACTCTACTCGAGGTCTCACGTTGCGTTCATGACCTCCATCTCCTGGATGTGGTCTTTCAACTCTTCTCTCTGGGGTTCTACTCTGTGAGAAGATGTCTTCTTCCATTGGACCTGTATCTTCCTCCTCCTCATCTTCTTCAAAGAAACCGGGCCGTATATCCCATTCCTCTTCAGATACTTCTGGTATAGGAGGAAGTGCTGAATCCACATTGCCTTCATGGACAACCTCAACATCATCTGCTTGTCCTGGACCATCACGAACAACTTCAACCTCATCTGATTGTCTTGCATCAAGAAACGCTTGTTGACCTGTATCATTGATGATCTTGTATGGAATCACAGGTTCACCATTCAACACTGATTGAGCAAGAGCCTCAGAAGAAGAAGCAATGCGTATGTTGTGAGAAGCTACAAGTACTGGAACGTTACCACATAGTAACCATATGTTCTTCTGGTTCTCGTGTCCGATCACACGGCATGTTGGTGACCAGGACGTTCCTCCTCGTTGATTGTCTCGTCTGAAAGTGACGAGATCACCAATGTTGAACTCACGGTCAAACACACTGGCATTGCGTGTCAACGCTCGTTAAACTCTTCTTGAACAATCAAGATGAACAAAAGCCTTTTGTGCCTCAATCCTGGCCAAATGTTGTAATGCAAAAATTGATGAAGGATCATGTCGGGCCTGAATGGCTCCGAGCTGTGCATGGTCTTCCTCAGACATGAGTGAAGCTACACCACGTGGAGCTCGACCGAGCACCCACTGAGATGGAGAAAATCCTCCAACACGTGCAGAGTCGTTCTTCACACTGAGCACTTGTGTGATGCACGACTCAACCTGTTCTTTGGTACAAGCCCCAACTTCTGTACACACTCGCCTGAAAAGAGCTTTCAACAAACCACCATGCCTCTCTACTCGGCCCAATGATTCCGGGCTCTCAAGGGGCACATGGTGCACTTGAATGTTGTGTTCATCCATGTACTGTTGCAAGACACCACGATTGTGCAATCCACGGTCACACATGATAGCAACAGGATGTCCTGCCCAACTGAACCAACGTTTGATGAGTGCGTCCAAACAGGATCGCGAAGAAGCTTGACCTGCTCCAACCTTCACGACTTCAGCCTGTTGAAAACAAGTACCAATGCAAACCATGTTGAGAACTTGATACTTCTGCCCAGTTACATCTGTCAACTCCAGTACATCAATCCCCAAAGTATGGTTGAATGTATAATCACTTGGAAGCGTGACTTTGTGAGTGGGTTTCTTTGCTGATGTTTTCTCACATGTTTCACATCTATGCAACTTTACTGCATCAACAAACTCCTTGCTCACCTTTGCAGCACGCACCAAATTGACCATCACCGTCTTGGGGACATGTCCAAAAGCCCTGTGCAACCTACGCACAGCAATCCTGACACGCTGGGGAAGTTTACGCCAAGACCTACGTCTTTCTGTTTCATCCTCTGGCAAACCAGGGATATCAACCTCATCCAAAAGAGTCTCTTCATGTGTCAGGTCCTCAACCGGATCCTGCAATGCAACATCTTCTGGGCCATCGACTGCATCCCAGTTCCCACCATGTTCCTGAGCCTCTTCGATGATCTCTGCTGGAAAGGCAACGCTCATCTGCTCCTCCAATTCACGTTCAAGTGACCAATCACGAATCCATTGACAAAACTCCCAATTCAAAACGTCATCCAATTGTCGATACATAGACCAGTCTTGAAAACCTTGAATGAGTTCATCATCATTTGACACAAAAGCAAGACCAACTTCATTGATGTATGGAATCTGTGGTGTTTTGAATGATTCCCATCGTTCAGTGTGTGCGACATCAACAATGAGAAACCTACACCCTGTGGCATCACAATACTGTTCCAACTCAAACACAAGATCCCCATGACACAGTGGATAATGTTCTGACTTGTATTCAATTGCAACAATGACCAATGTGCAACCTTCGAACATGTCTTTCCAACCATGTTGCTCAGCATCACCGTCCAAGTACGCGGCATTCATGCCAACGTCATAGGTGTGCTCGAAAAAATCCTGGAAAAGAGTCGGATGTGACGTGATGATTGCAACCCCTGATGTCCCATTGGAAACTTGAGGCTGCATCCCAAGACTGGACTGCATTACCCGGTCATGGTTGTTGAGATTGTTGATACCTTCCAACACCATCTTCCTGTGTTTCTTGCTCATGGTCCTCCTCTCATCAGGATGGACTGTCAAATCAACGTTGGGATCAAAACGCACAGCCATGAAACCAGTGGGAGAATACTCATAGTCATATTCATATGAATCGGAATCATCTTGTTCCAACTTGGGCGTCAAGACCTTTGGCTGGGGCTTCGACTTCACTGCATACATTCTTTTGGGTTCTGAAGATTTCATCTCAACTTTTGGATTCAAAGACTTCTCAAAATCATCCCTTATATCCCGTATTTTCTTGTTGGGGGTCAACCTGACACGAACGCTCATGTATGCTCCCCTCCCGGAGTCATCGAACACCCCAGGTGGGTGGTGAAACACAATCACATCGATCCACGAATTGCTCAAACGCACTGTTGCCCTGCTATCAACGTTG